AGCTCAGTTAGTTCTTGGATCAACTACGGCAGGGATGTCAAACTCGCGTTGTCATATTGTCATCACATGACATATTGCAACTTTCTCCTTTGCTAAAACAGAGGTGGGCGTGGCCAGCGCATAACGCATCTGGCCTGTGGGCCGCGCGTTTGACACTCCTGATCTATGGCCTTCCATCCAAGTACTAACGTTTAGGTTTTTTACATAAGCTAAGATTGGCCAGGCAGCAATTACAATGCCAGAAATTGAATTCTTATCTCCATTCAGTCATAAAGCTTGTATGCTCTCTTGATTGTTGGGAAAATAAATGGGAATAGGATTTCTTGTGTATCTATGGAGAAATATGTTCCAATGCTTATCAGTGCTTTTAAACTTTTTTCCTCTCAGGTCCCCTTGCTGGTAGAGACAATCCTCAAACAGCTTTTGTTTTTATGGGTTATAATTATCAGATAAAACTGATGCATCTGCGGTTACTACTGCTTTTTAGATTATATGATGGAATTTTAATATTATATTCTTTTTCAACATAAGCTGGCAAGTAATTTTGATTTTGAAGATAGGTTCTTGGTCCATGTTATGCTCCAGGACCACACTTTAAAACAGAATGATCGGTGTCATCGTGAGCCTTCTGGAAAGGTAGAACTAAAATGAATTAAATATAACGATGCATAATACTAGCAACTATGCTCTGTTGGTATGAAGGTTATTTTAAAAGTTTCACTTGGCAAACCTTCTAAAATAAGTTAAATAAGAAAGGAGTGTGCTCAAAAAATGTTTGATATTCTCAACTAAGTATGTCTGATGCTTAACCATGTCATCCTCTTGGCCTTCCAGAGGCTGGTAAAACTCAGCTTCTCCAGAGGGCATTTGAAGACTGATTATGGAACCAGGCTTATTAATATTTGTTATTTTTATTTCACCTATTAAATGTGTATTTACTGTTTTTTACTTTAATACAGGTAATCCTCAATTTACAACCACCTATGAGCCCAAAATTTCTGTTGCATTTGTTAAGTGAATTTTGTCCCATTTCACAACCTTACTTGCCATGGTTATTAAGTGAATCACTGCAGTTACCGGTATTAAGCTATCCCGTTTCCCCCAAAATAAGACATCCCCTGATAATAAGCCCAATTGGGCTTTTGAGCGCATGGCAATAAGGCCAAGTGCTTATTTCAAGGTTCAAAAAAATATAAGACAGGGTCTTATTTTCGGGGAAACACAGTAGTAACACGGTTATAAAGTGAAGCTGGCTTACCCATTGACTTTGCTTGTCAGAAAGTCACAGAAGGTGGTCACAATAACCAGAATATCATAAATTAGTTGCCAAGTGTCCAAATTTTAATCATGTGACCATGGGGAGGGATGCTGTAATAGTCATAAGTCACTTTTTTCAGTGCCTTTGTAACTTTGAACAGTCACTAAATGAATTGCTGTAAGTCGAGGACTACCTGTATCTGCAAACTGCCTAGTGCTCCTTTTACAACTGAGGCATTTCACCAATAAAAAAAAATGAAACAATGAAATAAAATAATTCTACTCTGATCTGCATTGAACTAAACACTAATGGAAAACTGTTTATTTTTTATTTCTTTTGTTTTGAACACCGAATCTCCTGAAAAGTATGTTGAATCATTACACTTCTTAAGTAGGCCCTTTTAGCATCAATTTAAAAATATGATAGCACAGTAAAAAGGAAAGAAGTCATTGGAGGGGTATGCAGAATATGGCCACAAAAAGTCAGCATGACAATAATGATGTTGTGATTAAAGCTGTTTATGTGGAAATATGTGGACCTTTGACAGTGCTACTGCAGCTGCCATCTTAAACTATTTGACCACACCCTGCAGACAACCCTCAGAGGTCCTGGAAAGCAGACTAGACATTTTTAGGAGATTTGGGGGGAGGAGGTGGGAGAAGCAGATACCTCTTCTTAGGTTATACATACCTTGACTTATGACCGTAATTAGGACCAGAATTTCCACTGCTAAACAAGATGGTTGTTAAGTGAGTTGTGCTTGATTTTATGATCTTATGATTTTTTTTTTTGGCTAGTTAATTGAATTATTGCACTTGTTAAGTGAATCATGCGGCCATTAACTGAATCTGGCCTCCCCCACTGCATTTCCTTGTCGAGGAGATGCCTGGAAAGGTTCCAAATGGTGATCATATGACCTAGTGACTCTGCAACAATCGTAAATACTTGTCAGTAGCCAAGCACCCAAATTTTGATTGTGTTATTATGGGGATGCTAACAGAGTGGTTGTAAGTCATTTTTTTTAATGCCTTTGTAACTAAACCAATGGTTGTAAGTCAAGGAGCAGGGGGTTGGACTAGAAAACCTCCAAAATAGGTGATAGACTAGACATTCAATGTCCCTTCCAACTCTGTTGTTATATGTTAAGGACTATCTGTATTTTCAGTTTCCCTAACACAGGGGTGTCAAACTCAAGGCCTGGGGGCCATATCTGGCCCGTGAGATACTTATATCTGGCCCATGGGACCACCCTGGAAAACAGCAAAAGACCATCCCGTGGTGCTTCTACCAGCGAAAACGGATCTTGAAGGGGCTGCGTGCAGCCCTTCCCGAGCTCTGTTTTCACTGGCAGAGTGTTGCAGGAGGCTGTGGCAGCTGAAAACAGAGCTCGGGAGCCCATTTTCACTGGTAGAGCTGGCAGAGCACTCGGGCCATCACAGGTGCCAACACGAGAGATGTTGAACTGGCCATGCCCACCCTGACTCTCCGAGATTAAACACAACCCTGATCAAATTGAGTTTGACACCCCTCCCATAACAGATCAAGCTGGGCTTTAACAGACATTATAAAGCTGCCTAGGTTCAAGAATGCTACTTATGTGGGTTCATAATAAGTTCAGAATGAAAAGAAACTTTTCTGGATAAACTCCTTTTTGTGCTAAAGTTAGCATTGTGAAATTGCTGCATGTGTCTAGATATATTTTAGCATGCTCTTCGTATCTGAGAGTTGCTCAGCTCCGAAAGGCCCTTGATGTTACAGCAGTTAATCAGGGAACGGAAATGAAATCTAACTTCTTCCTTTCTCTTCCAAGATAATATTAGCTGCTGACTAACTTGGAAATATACAACACAGCCTCTGTTAATATGTACTTTAAAAAGAAACCTAATTCCTGTTTTTATTCTAGGATAATATTAACTGGCTAACTAGAGATACGCAATGTAGGCTTTGTAATGTATTTACCGGAGTGTAAGGACAAACTGTTTCTGACATCTCCAGTTTTCCTGATGATGTTGCAGAAATAGTTTGCCACTGCTTCTCCTGGGAGATTTTTGATTTCTCAATCTAGCCTGGAAGTCACCCATTCAAATCATAACTAGGCCCAGACCTACTTAGTTGCCAAGATCAGAGAGTGCTGGCCTCTTACTGAGGCTTACCTAGGTGTACTGGGCCAAAATAATGTTTTAGGATTTGGGGGCGTAATGATAGGTGGGAATGACCTCAGAAGATGGGGGAGGAGTGGGGAGGGGGAGCCCATAGCTGCATAATGGGCAGAGAAAGAAACTCAGAGAGGAACTTCCCAAATTCATCAGGTAGTAAAAGACTGCCGATTTGTACTTTTAGACTTGCAAGCATCTGTTAATTTAGCCTTCAATTAACTCATTTGATCGTATTTCCTATCTGGTCTACCTTGAAACCAATAAAATCTGTGCTTCAAGTATGTACGAAACTGCAAATGCAAATATTTTTAACGGAAGATAAAATGTATGATTCATTATGATGTTTATCACAGTAGAGTTTGGCTAGTATAAATGTATGTATGTATGTATGTATGTTTAAAAAGTAACATTCAACTGAAGAGGGTGAAAGACTTAACTTTTCACTTGTCCCCAGCTATATTTTCTGACTTGCACCTGCTTTCTTTTACAGGGGAAAGAGAGAAAGATTGTATTTCTATATTGCTCTTTCTCCTAGTCAGAGAAGTTCAGTGTCTTTTACAATGGAATAGAAACATCGTTAAATACGTTATAAGCCATTCTTAAATTTTAAAAAATCAGAATCATAATTAGTTTGCTGTAACTTTAAAAGACAGTGGCTGTGAAAGTTCATGCTGCAGTTCCTCTGTGTTGCAAGAAGAGTTGCTGTTCAGCCAACATAACCTTGTGTATACTTTTTGTGGCAGGAAGTTTTGCAGAATTAACAAAACCACCATATAGAGAAGTGAGCAAATAGGTATCAGAGATCAACACCAGAAGAGAGCTGGTGAAGAAACTGCCATGCTTTCACACTTCTTCCGTCCCCCATTTTCACACCCGCTTATCTTCTAAGGTCCTTAGGCAGAGCTTAATAAATAAAGAGTTGTGGAAACTGACCCACCTGGAAGCTACATTCTTTAAACTGGATGGCTATTTTTTTAAAAAAGTGTGACCTTCCTTGATGTGAAGCAAAGGTGTTCTGTGCATGTTCAGGAGCTGCATAATCTCCCTCTTGAATACCTTCCATCAAAATATCTTCAGAGATCATATCAAACCTCTCACACTGCATTTTCAATTAATTACAATACAATGATCCTAGCTATCTAATATAATGTACTGCAGTTACTATCAGAAGTAACTGCAATACACTATAATAAAGGGGGGGGGGTAGGAACATCAGGATGAATGTTTATATAGATAGCATAAAGTTGTGGGGTGAGAAAGAAATACTGTCTTATGGAGTATTTTGCAAAAGTGTATAAAATGGAGGTCTGGGATTATCGTATTTGCTAAATTTAGAAAAACTCCGAGATTTACTAAAATGGAATTGATGCAAAAAGGTAATACTTAAAATGAATGAAACCAGGAGTTTACTGCGCCAGTCTTTCCACAAAATCCAAACCTAGTTACTCCATCTTTACTTCATCTCAGCAACCGGAACGAGTGTGGCGCTGCTGCTGCTGCTGCTGTTTAATCATTCCAAAACTGACCAAGTAATTCCCGAGCCAAGTTCTACTTTTAGTTCAAACTTGGGCTGAATTCCCGAAAAGGGGCATTACAAGTTGCCGTGGTGAAGGTAAGGTTTTTCGTGTACAGAAATACATTTTGCATTTAATGGGTCCCTTCTCCCCCACCCACCCCCACTCCCCCCAGCCAGGAAAAGAAAGGGAACCGAATTTTGCAAGCATAACAGGCATTCTTTTCTCCGCTTTCTTCTATTCGGTGTAACGGGGCACTTATGACAAACATCGCCCGCCATGAGGGGAGGAAAGCCAAACCAGACCTATTTTTTTTTTTTTTGCTGGCATGAACTCCAGCGGCTCTTCTTCCAAAGCCTACCTTGCCGGATTTTGCTGCGGCACCAACTTCCAGAGGTTCAAGCGCTAGGCTAGGGAATACCCGCACAACCGAGGCGAAGCCGATGGGCAAAGGGTGGAGAGCGCGCGCTCGGCCGCGACTGGCTATTGCCCCAGCGACGGAGCGCTCCTTTCCACGCCCGACCGCTCGGCTCGCTGCTCCCAGAGAGGAAGTTAACGCCGAGCGGAGAATACAGGCTGCAGATGGGGCGGGAGTGGCCGGTGCTCGAAGATGACTGGGTGGGCAGAGATAAAACAACAGGCGTTTCCTAGAATGTCATTGAAGAAACTTTTTGCCCTCCCCTGTTTTGCTTTGCCTCTCTTCTCTTTGCTTTAACGAGATTTGATCTCTCGAAGCGAGAAGCTCCGTTTGATAACAGTCAAGGTAAAAGGGCGTTTCCGAGTTGCACCTTCCCACACCTGGGCCATGGCAATATGGTATTCCCCGTGACCTTGCCTTCCCAGCCTAAAGGCAAATCAGCCTTAAACTGTCCTCAGCTCTTTAAGGGAGCAGCGTTTTCCCACTTATTGCAACATAAGACCAGGGAAGCCACAGGGTTTAATTTTGCCATTAATTTCCTTCACATGGCTTTTCAAATTTGTAGTTTACTTCAGACCCTGAATGCCAGCGACTTTCTAATGTGCCTCTGAACAAAAAGTGCTAGCTTTACCTCACCCTAGAATTAATCGTCTAATGCTGATCTTTTATGCACCATTAAACTAAACTAAAATAATAAAAATCAGATAATTTTTTTGCTTAATATATCACAGTACAAAGAGTATATACATTTGATGTCCTCCCACGGCCAAATAATCTGGTCCTATGTTAATGACTACTCCAACAGCTGAAAATACAGCTGATCTTCAAGTAATGAAAGTCAAGGAATACCGTGAAAAATACAGGTTCAATTAAACATAAGGAAGATCAAACTAATGCAACTATACTTCAAATTGGCAAGTTATTAAAGTGAATACCTACTCTTTTTTAGAATCAGTCATGAACAATAAAGGGACCAGCAATAAAGAATTACAACATAGATTAGCATCTGGTAGAGCAGATGCTTTGGAAAAGATATATATATATATATATATTTTAATTTGATTTATATGCCGCCCTTCTCCAAAGACTCAGGGCGGCTTACAATGTGCTCAGCAATATTCAGATACTGTGATGTGTCTAGAACAGAATTGTGTAGGAATGGTATTCTCTGTGGTACTCTGTGGAAGCAAAAGTTGGATTTTGAAGAAGCAGCATATGAAGAATATTGACACTTTTGAACTTTGGTGTTGGAGAAGACTCCTGAGAACACCCCGGATAAAAACCAAATGGATCGTAGAACAACTCTCACTCCAGCCACTAATGAGCAAGTTCAAATGGTCACACTTTGGACATATGTGAAAATTTAGCTTTCTTGAAAATCTATAATGCTGGGAAAAGTTGAAGAAAACAGAAAGAGGATGATCAGAATTGATTCAGTTGCAGAGGTGATGGTGAATGCATTGGTGGAAGACCTTAAGGGATAAGTTGGACTGCATTTAGAACTTTGTAGAGTCGTCACATAATTGTGTTCAATTATACATGATCCCTTCACAATACTGAATCCTTCAGTATCAGCATACAATGTGTATGTGCAACTTTTGATTAAACCTAAAATATCAAGGCTAACCAAATTGAGGCAAGCCAGTGTTTATTATTACAATATGACATTAGACAATACAAGGAATAAACCAGCTCATTTTTTGTCTGCTGCATCCACAAACATAGAATGAATATATTATCTTATTGCTTATTTATTGATCAGAATGGTCAATATGGATCAGAATGGGGCCTACTAAGCCATATAAATAAATAAATTTATTTGTTTTTGGCCCAATAAATCCCACAGCAAAACTAAGCTTAACAATCTTTCAATAATAGAAATAAGTTTTGATATATGTATGAAATGGTATTTATTAGATTCATAAGTTGATAATTATCTTATTAATTCAAGAGCCGCGGTGGCGCAGTGGTTAGAGTGTAGTACTGCAGGCTACTTCTGCTGATCACCGGCTGCCAGCAGTTTGGCAGATTGAATCTCACCAGGCTCAAGGTTGATTCAGACTTCCATCCTTCCGAGGTAGGTAAAATGAGGACCTAGATTGTCGGGGGCAATAGGCTGACTGTGTAAACCGCTTAGAGAGGGCTGTAAAGCACTGTGAAGTGGTATATAAGTCTAAGTGCTATTGCTATTAATGCCACAATTGTCTCAATTATCACATATCTTGCACATGGTTACTATTATTGTTTTGTATATACTTCTGAAGATACACCTCATATTTCCAATTCAGGCATTCTGTGGAACTATTTTTCCATCATTCATTCATGCCCCTCTTGTCTTATAAAAATGGCCAAGGGACTGTCTTGTGAGGGGTTCTAGCAGTGATGAATTCTTCTTTGAGTACTTTTTTGAGACGTGTTTGCTTCATCCCTTAAGGACGCCTTGGTTCACACGCTCCTCAAAAAGCTTTCACTGGATCCCAACATTCTGAACAACTTTCATCTGGTATATAATCTTCCCTATCTGGGGAAGGTAATTGAAAAGGGGGTCACATCTGCGCACCTTCCGCCGCGCTCTAAAGACCTTTTTATTTCACCAGGCGGGCCTGGCCTAATTTTCTCCCTCTTTTATAAAAGATTTTTAATTTTTAAAATTTTTCAGTATTTTATATATTCAAATTTTAAAATTGGTTTTAAATTGATGGGGGTTTTAATTTGTCTAAAACTATTTAATTTGATTTTAATTCCACTTTTTAAATTTTGTATGTACGTATTTTATTGTTTGGCTGTGCACCGCCCTGAGTCCTTCGGGAGTAGGGCGGTATAGAAATCAAATCAAATAAATAAATAAATAAATAAATAAATAAATACATACATACATACATACATACATACATACATACATACATACCAGCATCAGATTAAACAGATTATCTGGACACCCTCCCAGGTTAGTATTCAAGCCTTGATATGGAATGGAAAAGGCATTGGATACTTTTATATGGTATCTGGCAAAAGCAGGATGGAGATTATGCATCCTACCTTTCTCTGCTTGATCTCTCAGTGGTCTTTGGTACCATCAACTTTAGTATTCTTCTGAACCAGCTGCAGAGATTGAGGTGGGTAGCACTCTATTGGGATGGTTTGCCATCTTCGTTTGGGGTCAATACTAGTTTGTGATCAGGGCCAGTCTTAGGCCCTATTGTGTGGGGTGCTGTAAGATTTAGTGTTCTCCTTGCTTCTATTCAACATCTCACTGAAGTTGCTGGGTGAATTAATCTGCCATCATGGGCTGAGATATCATCAGACTACCAGTTTGGTATAGTGGTTAAGATACCACTATAGAAAGCAAGAGACTGGGAGGCCCACTTTGGCCATGAAAATCAACTGTGTGACTTTGGACTAGTCAGACTTTCTCAGCCCAACTCACCTCAAAAATTGTTATGTTCTGTTGGATATGTTCAGAGCCTTGAGTTATGTGTTACAAATAACAATACAACACAACACAACATAATACCCAGTTATATATCTCTGCCTCTGGCAAACTAAACAATGCTATTACTGTCGCTCTGGTGCCTGGAATGTGTGATAGTCTGGACACAGAGCAACAGGATTTACCTGAACCTGGCAAGATTTTGCAGCCTACTGGTTGTGAGACTATGCCATTTTTTATGCTGGATGGGACTGCACTGCCCTTCACAGACTCAGTAAACAACCTATGAGTCCTTCTAACTCACAAATCTTTTTTGCCATAGTGCCCAACCTGTGGAAGACAATCCACTAAGGTGAAGTTGGCTCCATTCCTGTTAATTTTTCTAAATATTTCAAAATACTGTTATGTCATGAGGCCTGGTGATCTCAAGGCAATGAGTTGCTGAAATGGCTCCATTGCTATTAATATCTGTCGTTCTCTTCTTGCACTTTAATCATAATTTTAATATTTTTATTGTTAGTTGTTTTTATACATAGTCTTATTTTATTATTCTTATTTTATGTCACTTAAAATCACATTTTGTGATATGGATTGCTATGAATAATGATAATTGAATAAATAAATGTCTTCACTTTACTGTCTTGTGTTAGTTGGTGATATGAATTGCAATCCAGTACTTCTAAAGGGTGACAGGTTTTTATATATGTCTGAATACTGTACATCTTTGGGTGGGCTTTTTCAAGTATTATGATTAGTTGAGGCCCTGTGGGCCCAGAGTATAAATTACAGGAATTTGCCTGTTGTTCAGCAGTTTCAGTTGAGGCAATAAATGCTGTTGTATCTATGCTGCCTCTTCTTGCCTACTGCAACCCACAATATAACAGTGGCGACGAAGGTGGGATGCTGCAGAGGAGAGAGCTGCTGCTAACCAAGAGACTGAAATCACTGGGTGTCAGACCAGGTAAAGAGCCCTGGTGGGACCATGCTCTCCACCCTGCCTGCCAGTAAGACACACTGGAGGCACAGACATACCTGAGGGATCTGTCCCCAGGACTCCTAAGTGCAGCTCAGCTCCAACCGCAGTAGTACAGGCATTAACCAGCAGTAGTACAGGCATTAACCAGCAGTAGTACAGGCATTAACCAGCACCACAGGGGCCTTCCCAAAATGGCTAAACTGGGAAGACTCAATGAGTTCAATATTACTCACCCGGATCAGAGGAGCTCATACGACTCCCAAGTAGACAACTATCTCAGGGCTAACCAGATCACGGATGATGGCCTGAAGGCAGCCACCCTACTATGTGTTGGTGGACAAGCCATGTTTGATATCACTGAAAAGTTCCACCGGCAAGCGTAGAGACAGTGGCCTACGCAGACCTCAAGAAAAAATTAAGCGAACATTTTGAGCCTAAACTCTCTCACTCATCACCCAGCACCATGCATTCGAGCAATGTGAACAGAGATCCGGGGAATCTGCAGCAGAGTTTGTGGCACCCTTTTGCCAAACTTCGTGCCAATGTGAGTTCCCTGATCTGGAAGACCTTCTCAGAGACAGGCTTGTTTGTGGCCTGCATAATAGTGAAATACAGCAGCACCTATTCGTCATAAAGAAACTGACTTTCCAAGACACATTGAAGACACATTGAAGGAAGTCATGGTGGATGAGGC